TTTATGGAGACAAAAAGACTTCTTACAACTGTGTGTTTTGAAAAGATTTATGACAGGGCTACAGTATCAGCATGGAGGGTCCACAAGGCAGGAATGCAGTAAGGGTAACAGGAGAGTGTCATGTAGACATTAAATAGTACAATTCTTTCCACATTCATAAATCCTAAGTGCCTACGGTTTTATACTGCTGGTTATAAATTATATAACTGAGTTCTACAGACAAAAAACAAAAACCAAACCAAACCAAAAAAGCCCAAAAAAACCCCAAAACCAAAAACAACAACAACAACAAAAAATCTATCCAAAAATGAGAAATCATGTCCTTAAGAACATATACATTTCACAGTAAGGAACCAACTTTTCAAATTACTTCACTCATTATTATTTCCTATTTTAAGTATTTTGATTGGTAAAGTCATAAAACAGAACTCTTTGGACAGTAAACGAGCAAAACACTAGTCAGTCTTTAGAAAAACAGTGGAAAGTTCTCACATTAATTTACAAACACATACGATAAGGAGTCAATAATCCCAAACAGTTAGTTTACAAAATGTTTGGTAGGAAAAGAGTCAATTTTATCAATTATTCTAATCTGCTTGGAGTTTCATAACTGATGTTAAGGTACCTATGGCACTTTATTGTTTTTCCTGCACCAGAGGTATGGTGAAAAAAATGAGTATCAAATGAAGTATACCTAATCAAAACACACTTAATGCTATTTTTCGGCATATAAACCAATCTAGAATACAAATACCTATTTATATGTCATGTATATATGCACACAATTAAAATCCTCATTAGTAATGTTCAGCACTTCTAGTAGTTAAGTGGTTCTTTACAATCTTTTGGGCTAAAGAATGAGGGTCAAAACTTTCTTCTTTCACTCACTATGTTGTTGAGCTTATCCCACGCTAACCAAAGCAAAAGCGAAGACTATCAGGGAATTCAGGAGTTCCTAAAGCTTAGTACAAAAGATAATTGAATACTCAGAAGAAAAGCTGGGAATAGGTTAGCTTGTGGGAAGTAGCTAATTATTTCTTGCTAGCTCTCCTGATATACATTTTCATTCTGCAACACGGTGCCTTTTTCTTGAAATAGTCCACTTGGGTTGGTCAGAAGACAAATTAGTAGAATATCTTTGCTTGGAACGGCTTTGCTTGGACTAAATTAGCTTACACAGTTGAGGATGCAGACCCTCGTTGTCCACCTCTTTGAGCGGAGGTGACACCAGGCAGTGGCTGTGCCGCCATCTACTGTGGGTTTTGCATAGCACTGCTTGGTCCAAAGCCCGCAGGGATCCCTCCAGCAATCCTTCCCACTCCTCCTCTCCAGGCTCAGTGACGCAGACTGAACTCCCTGAACGTGTACCTAAGTAAGAGCCTGGTCCTGCCATCTTTGCTAAGGCAGAACCCCCTCCACAGACTGCAGGTCAGCTGCTGCTAACGAAGTACTGTGTATTTTGTTATTGTTCTCCAACTAATAAGGTCTGTCCTGCAAATTTGAAGTTTGTGTGCCTTATAGTACTGTGAATGGTTACCTTAGAAGACAATTGAAAATTGTACAGCACTGAGACATACATTCAAGTTTTCTTGAACCTGCTCATCATATATCATGTAGCTTTAATGCATGTCAACCATTAATCCCAGAGAGTTTCTCCGTCTTAATCAAGAGAACTGTCAGTGTGGGAGTCAAGTCAGAATCTGCACACATGCAGTTCCCTCTCAATTTTAATATTTGTCTTAAGATTCTTTTGGTGATCCCAGAGCTCAAGGTACAGTGAAAGCTTTTGTTATTGCTCTTTGGAGGATTGTTGGATTTGTTGGTCCCTCATCTAGTGTGTAAGCTTCCAGAACACACTACAGCTCTCTCTATGTGTGCTTGTGAAGGGCTCTGTCAAGAACAGGGGCAAGGGACTTCACAGCTGTGGTGCTGCAGGACAAGGTAGTAGTTGTATTCTGAGGACCAACTTCCAGATGTAAGGAAAAATAAAGTGTCCTACATCTATCTAGTGACAGACACTTCCAGCCATGCCAAGTGCTGCAAGTTCTGCCAGTTTTTTGACAGAACAGTCAGGAACCACCTGGTACTCCGCAGGTAGAGAAAGGATGATGGAATAGTTCCAAGCAATCATATCGGAATACAGCTGCCAGATAAACTTTAATTTAGTGCACTCTACACAATATTTATAGAGCTAATCCATGAACGCTGCTTGAGCCGTTTAAAGGCTGGAGACTAAATTCTGCTTTCTGAATGTTTATTCTGAATTTCTCCAACTGTTCTTCTTACGTGACAGTGCTTAATTGGCAGAGAGCCATGAAGGCTGTTGTCTAATTACACAACATATCACGATCTTACAGACCTACTGATAAGGCTTTACTGCAGCATAAACGGATTTTAAACATTAACATATGAAAAAATTAGCCTCCAAATTAGAATATTTCAGTCTGTGTGTCAATAGTCACTCTTATTTGTTTAGGAAAACATGGTTTTGGAGGGAGAAACTAATTTTAGAGATTAAATAGCTTGTAATGTTAAACAGGCTACAATTTAGTGGCCTCTCTGGCTAGCTCTATGCAGGGCAGAAATCTATTCACATGTAATTACTTATTTCAGACCATGTGAGAGATACCATATCTTTGCATGGAATCAGTCCAGCTGGGGATTATAGCAGTATTATGATAGCACTGCTACACATGATGCTGTGAAAAACATAGATTTAGTGAATTCACTTGCAACATTTTGCTACACAAACAGCCTTGAATGAAGGCACAATAAATATATTTTTAAATGATCTCAGACTATGTTTTTACAGAAAAGACAATGTCACACTGCATATTATAATGACTATTAATCAGCAACATAGAACTCGACTTCTGTCAACAGGATAGTAATAGTTTTGAGCTGAAGGATGTGCACTAGGTCTGCCGTTGTGATGAAGTACAGTGGGGGAGCTGCAAGTTTTAAGATGACTGCAGTCCTTTCTTCACTGAATGTAATCTTCAGTGATAGGATGCAGTTATGTATAATAAAGGCATTGCTTTGCTTTTGTATGAAAAAAATTACATTCTCCTCTCTTTCAGCAGATACTGTGCAGATGTGGCAGTAACCATGACATCACTGAGAAGGCAATTCTCTTTCTGATGCACTGACTGGAAACCAGGACACACCGTGCACATCCCCTCCCACAGTTGTGGGGGGTTGTTCTTGCATGTAGCCTGAAAAGGTAGGAAGATGTATTTGTGCATTTCAGTCTATTCTACCTCTTCTTGGCAGGATTTTGCAAAAGTTCAAGCATGTGGGTAAGTTTACACACTGAGCAGTTCTGCTGGCTAAGTGGGACTGCTCAGATGTGTAGCTACTTCCCTAAGTACACTGCTGACAGACTGGGCACCTTACAACCCTTTTTGGCAGCAATGTGCTATACAGAATGGTTTGATGTTCTCAGAGATGCATGCAAAGCCTTCAAAATCCCATTTTAGGGGTGCTGTTCTCCTCCAAATCCAAAGGGAATCTAAGAAACACAGTTTTAGGACCTCATCCATACAAATTCATCAAAGTTAAGCCTCCCTCACAGCTCTGTTTTTAAAGAATTTGCCTTTCTATGTAATACAGAAAAGGAGGTGGTAAGATTCAGCTGCTTTGACATCTAAAGCAAATATTAGAATGTGTGATAAAGCATGAAGTTGTAAGGTGGAGCAAGTGAAGCAGCAACACATGATACTCCAACCCTTTTCTCACTGTTTCTAAGGTTATATTATGGTATTTACTAGAAATACAGCTGAATTGACAGCAGCGTCTGTCATATAGCAAGGCAACCTGCTGAAGAACTCCGTATTTTACAAATTAGCTAGCAAGGGATCTACTTAATTCGTTTTCAGTTGTTTTAATTTAACAGCAGATTTATTCCCGGGTTTATCTGGATTTATGTAAAACAACACAAGAGCCAAAATGTGGTTCTTTACCAGTTGAAGAAAGCCTTAGCGTCTCCTCGAGTTGCCTAACAGAGCTTACTTTCTCAGCATGTTCCTATAGCGGGACATAGTCAGTTAAGATTTGTAAGAGAAAGCAATACATTGTGATTTAGTACAGTTCAATTTGAGACTGCATAGGCAGGAAAACCAAGTAAAGGGTACATTTCTAGCACTAACAGCCAAAAAATTACATTACCAGAAGCACGCTATTACTAAGCATCTAATTAGTTCTAGAGAAAAGCTCGAAACTTCAGCTATGGAGACTGCCATATGACTTTTGCTCCGAAATAATTTACTTAAAAAAAAAAAAAAAAAGAAAGGAAAAAAAAAGAAAGAAAGAAAAGGACAATGAAACGCGTGTGAGGTCTGTGGGAAGGCAGCCCCAGATGTTTACAATGGAGCGAGTAGCGGTATAGCGGCGCTGCAGCCCGGGACCGGCGGGGCGCAGCGCGGCACCGCCTCCGCCGCACCGCGGGCGGCAGCGCGGGCGCGCACCGGCTCCGGCTCCGCGGGCACCCCCGCTGCGGAGAGAGCGCACCCGGCAGGAGCCCGGCCCCGGGAATGAGCAGCCCTGCTCCGGGAGCGGGCCGCAGGCAGCGCGGAGCGGGCGGCTCGGGGAGAGGAGCGTGCGGGCAATCGATTAATTGTTCCAATGCAGCGCTCTCGTCAAGGCACTCTAATGACAGGGGATAATGATTTTCAGATTCAGGAGACAATGTCCCCCACACACTCCCCGCCACTTCCTTGCAAATCTTTCTAATTTGCTCTTCTGCCTGGCGAAGAAACAAACGGTGCTCAGCGAGGCCATTTGCAAAACAAATGTAACCGGAGAGATTCGCAGATACGGGCTGGCCGGGAGCGGCGTCCCTGAGGAGCCGAGCCGAGCCCACCCAGCCCTGCCGTGCGCCCCCTCCCCTCCGCGGCGCCACCTCTCCCTTTCCCGTCCCTTCCCTGCCCGCCCGGGCTCGGGCGCTCGGCCCGGGGAGCAGCGGCCCCTGCCCGGCAGCGCGGCGGCAGAGCCGTACTTACTGAACGGGCAGTTCTCCTTCTTGGTGCCGCTGACCTTGCCGTTCTTCTCGATCTTGAGAAAGTACTTGTTGTAAGAATAGAGCTTCCTCTTGCGCACGTCTCCTTGGAGGTGATTGTAGCTCCGCACGTGTCTCCCCGCACTGGAAGGAGAGGAGAAGGACGAGGGGAAGGAGGAGGATGATGAAGAAGAGGAGTTGGTGGCCTCCGGGGACAGCATGTCCTGGCCGAGGTCATGGCAGGTGACAGGCACAGAAGACACCAAGAAGAGCAGCAGCAAGCAGCAACAAGGCAGGTGGGAAAAGGCTGAGGCACCATTTGTCAGTATCCATTTGCACATTGTACTGAAACTCTGGGCGCTGGAAAATGTCTTATCAAATGAAACATACTGGAAGGGTAAAACCTGGTAAAAGGCAAGTGGAGAGACGGTGGTTGCTGCTTCTGGTTAGATTCCTCTGAGCTCTGATCTGGCCTGAAGTAAGTGCACCAACATCCATAACTCAGGGGACAAATCGCCTCAGAAGTTGCTGCCTTTTAATCCTTCGAGTCCTCCCTCAGAAAAAAGAGCTGTTGGTTGTTGGTTTGGTTTTTTGGTTTTTTTTTTTTGGGTGGGGGGGTTGGTGTGGTTAATCCTCTTTTCTTTTTCCCTTCCCCACTCCCCCACATGCACACACACTCCCCAACCTGGTTTGAGACTTTCCAGTAGTTATTTTGTTCTCTTCCTCACTCCTTTCTTCACCATCTTAGATGCAGAAAGGTCTGAAAAATAGATGACAGCAAAGTCAATGACAACAACAAAAACAACGAGTAAGATAAATAATAACCAGCGGAAAGGGGTGCCGGAATGGATTTTTCACACATACACCTTTACACACACGCGCACTCACACTTTGTGGCTTTGCACCTTCTTCTGATCTCCACCCTCTTGCCTTTTTGCAAATCCCAAACCAGTTGCACAACTCGTCCTTTTCTCACTGACAACCCCAGAGGAGGAAGTTTCTTTGTTTTGCTTTGAATTCTCCAGAACAGTATTAAAAAAAAAAAAACCGAGAGAAAGAGAGAAGGAGAAATCCCAACTTGTCCCCCCGCCCTTCCTTTCCTTTCCTTTCCTTTCCTTTCCCTCCCCCTTTGGTTGTAAACAGGTTGGAAGCTGTAGCCTAAATGTCAGCGATTACAAGTCAGAGGTGGGATGTGCCTCTGGTGGTCAGCCCTTATTTGCAGGGGGTCAGGCAGTGGTGGGACATCTGAAACCTTTTTGCAGCTGGAGCGAGCGGTGCCTGCTGCGGAGGCAGCCCCGGGAGCTGCCCTCGCTTCCTCCCGGGCTGCGGCAGCCGCGGCAGCCGCCGCCTTCGGCTCGCTGCTAATTGCTCCTAAAGCGTCCTTCTCCTCGGAGCGCCGGCCACCAGCATGGCTTAGAGACTCATGCTTTACTAATTTCCCTGTCTTCCAAGTTGAACCAATCCCCTCCAGGGAGGCTTCCCTCCCCCTTCACTCTTCCCCCACTCTCTCTCTCTCTCTCTCTCCCCCCACCCAAAAAAAAAAAAAATCTCAACCAACCAACCTCCTCCCCTAAAAAACCTCCCCAAACTAACAAAAACCAACCCCCAAAACCCCAACTTGTTTTCTAGTGGAGGGCTTTATTTTATTTTTTTTGGCAGTGAAGTGATTGAGAAAGCCACCTGGAGCTTGTTGCCTGCTAGATCTCCCCCTCCCCCCCGCTGGAGGAGGGGTTGGGTGGAGGGGTTGGAAAGGAGTATATACTACAGGCAGACCCTGGAAAAGCAGATTATATGCTGGTCAGAGAGAGTAAAAAGGGAAGAGACATAATTAGCTCCTTTTCCTTCTTCTCTGCCAGCTTGCATGGAGGTCTTTCTCCCTCCTTCAATGAATCACTGATTTCTCGCTTCCGTTGCTGAAATAAAAAGTTCACACTTTAGCCTGCTCTTCCTTTTAAGCCTCTCAAGATTTACTGTGTCCCTTTCCCCACCCTCACTCTCCTTGTCTCAAAAGAAATCAGGGCCCTAAATGACCATTTTCTAATTGCTAACATGAGTCGTTTACTGAATCACGCGTCTGACTTCAAAGCAAAAGGGATTTTATTGGCATTGCAAAGGTTTCCCCATAAAATCTGTCTGAATACTTTGCTGTCTTTTTAATTTTTTTTAAACTAATGCAGTTTCCCTTGCCAGAAAGAAACAATTTTTCCATTTTCAAGGCTATTTTAAGCGATTTTTCAAGCTATTATTTTCCTGGAGCGGCATATGTTGTTGGTTTTTCCTATGATTCCATCTCTTCTAGTGGATTTATCATTTGACCTACTGAGTAATATGACAGTTTCATATTTCTAGCCCATCACTGAAGTGTCAGCTTTCCCCGCAATCAACAAGCATCTTCCATATGATGTACTATCTTTTAACACCAGAATAAAGCATCAGGAACTGACAGGGTATGGGCGACATGCAAGATATTATATTTTAGCCAGTATTTAGCCATGTTAAATACCTGTTTTGGAACACGAGTGGATGGAACATTTGCTAGCAGAATGGAATATCAGGGAAATAGTGAGTAACTCAATAAGCAAACCCAAAACTTTTTTGAAATATAGGCAGTCAAATAATGCAGATCAGTGGAATGCAATGGAAAACCTCCTATGTGATTCCATTTGGCATTTGGAGTAAATCTTAGTTTAAACAACAGAAAATGCAGGCAGAACAAACAGTTCTAAAATTAGACAGATTCATTAGATTAGGATGTTAAATATATTGTTAACTTCACAACAGAAATTAGAAATTATTTTCTCCAATTGTGGTGTTTATTCTGGAGAGAGTTGGTTCCTAAATTTATGTGTTCAGCTGCTGGGGGTGACATTTAAACAGCCTTAAAAATGAAACCATTTAATGTTAGAATCAATATGTTTTACGATGTTGTTTATGGTACTTCAGATTATTTATTCTGCATGTATTTGCTTTGAGTGCAAAGCATTTCAGAAATCTTTCTTTTTGCAAATCTGATTTAGGCTTTCCTTTTGCCAAAGGCTTTTCCTTTTGGTAATTAATTTTAAAAAAGCAGAGAAACAAGAAAAAATGTAAAGCAAACCACTCCTTTCTGTGAATGCCTGACAGCTTACATGTGTGTCTACAAAGCTTATGTCAATGTTTGAGCGCTGCCTGGGTTATGAAAGATACAAGACATTATTTCTAAAATTGAAGTAATTTGGATTCCAACAGCTTAAATTATAAACAATTTCCATAATATCTTAAACTTTTAGATTTGAGTATGTCTTTTTTTTTTTCTCTTTTTCCTGTCAAATGTTGGAAAATAAAGCAAATTGGCATTTTAGGATCTCTGGTGGGAGTTAGAAATAATTTGGGGGTTAAACAGCCATAATTAACCCTGAAAAAATAGGTACTGTCTTGAACTTACTCAAGAAGAGTTGTGCTTAAACCTATTTCTAGCTCATGACTATCTATATATTGGTTGCAAGATTTTGTGCTTAAGAACAGAAAATTCAACACGCACAGAATTTCACATAAGATCTGCTTCTGGCAGGTGCAATATTCAGGGCAGTACTTTAAACTACTGCAACGCATAGAGTCCTTTTCTATCCTGTGTGATGACAAGGAGGGCATTTACAAAACAGAGTCCAAATGAAAAGCTGACATAGCTTTTTAGATTATATCTCATTCTTTTTTCTACCTTCTGTATAGCCTTTCTTTTATAGCACAGCTGAATCCCTAAATACCCCACTACTTTGTATTGTCAGGTCACCTCTTAGGTTAGCCTGAGAAAGCCTGAGAAAAGTTCCACAGGAAAGATCCACTATTTAACGGAATTCAATCTGTCCCAATAGATTTGAATCACTAACATAAATGTATGAATGTAGATTATATCTCTGTAATGAGGCCTGAATCATTCTAAGTTACTTCAAAGGCCTGAAATTCAACCTTCCTTTTTAGCAGCAACAATCAGACCTTAATGGGTTTCTTTATTAATTGTTCCATTGCTAAGCTTGAAAAGCAGCTACCTTCAGTACAAGTCCTAGACTAGAAATGGTACCTGCTGCTCAAAAACAGTAATTCTGTTTTGCCTTTTACCACTGCAAAATTCTGCAAAATATCTCCCGCACTGCAGTTTTAGAAATGATGAATTACATTGACCCATCCAGAATGAAATAAAGAAAACACTTTCCAAAAAATTTGTAAAAAAGTAGAAAATATATTTTAAGAATTTTCTTTTTGAGATGTTTTCTCTCTAAAGTATATGTAGGGAAATGAGTTGTACAGGTGAATTTTAATGATAAAAAGGCTAAAATTATTTTTTAAATACTTACAGCAATAGCTTATGTCATGTCTTTGTCTTTTCATCAGCAAGGAGGCATATTTGCGGGTTTTTGGGTTGGGTTTTGTTGTTGGTTTTGTTGTTTTTTTTTTTTTTTTCCTGGTTAAGTAGGTGACTTGGATAAGACAAAGATTATTTAATGTAGTTGGAATAAATTTTGCCTTGCATGATTTCGCTTAGTCAACGTCTTATTTTTTCTGATGATGTAAGTAAGTTCTGTTTATGTCTTTGGGTATAAATATGATCAACTTACTTCCAGATGTCACTAGCCCCTCAGTTTAGATTGCTAGATTGCCATCATGAACATTTGCTGCTTGCAGTATGATGAGAGATGCACATGCATCTTCTGGTCATGGCACCCAATTCTGTTCCTACTCAAGGTATTGGGAAATTTGCCAGTGGTTTCATTGAGAGGGATTTCAGCCAGGATTGTCACTGCCAGAGAGGCAGCTCTGCCAGAAACAAGGTGTGGAGTGCCAAACACATCAATGGCTCAGATGCCTCCCTCCGTACATCAATTCCAAACTGCAGAACTGGTATTATTGTAAAACACTGAATCATGGAATCGCCGATTCTGTGAACTCTGAGATCATCAAGTCCAACCTGTGATTGAACACCAGCTTGTCAACCAGACCATGGCACTGAGTGCGATGAGTCTTTCCTTAAACAGCTCCTGGTGACTCACAGGAGTCACATCCCTGGGCAGCCCATTCCAATGTTTAATCACCCTTTCTGTGAATAAATTCTTCCTAAAATCCAAGCTAAATCTCCCCTGGTGCAGCTTGAGGCCATGTCTTCTCTTTCTGTCACTGGTTTCCTGGGAGAAGAGACCAACCCCCCTGCCCAGAGCCCCTGTTCAGGCAGTTGTAGAGATTGAGCCTCCTTTTCTCCAGGATAAACACCCCCAGCTCCCTCAGCTGCTCCTCACAGCACTTGTGCCCCAGCCCCTGCCCCAGCTCCATTGCCCTTCTCTGGACTCTCTCCAGCCCCTCAGTGCCTTTCCTGCAGTGAGGGCCC